TGCATGGACTTTTTCAGTGAAATTACGTGCATTTTAAGCGGGTATCAGGTGGTTCAAAGAGGCCAATTTTAACACCTGCCTTAGGCACGACACTTGTCACTAAACCAACAGATTTATTTAATTAAATCCGATATCCAATGGTGACAAGAGTAATAAGCCTCTAAGGGTGTCCAATAGATTATCGGAATAATGTAGTACAAACGACTCTAAAAGACCAACATTGAATAGATATACAATGATAAATTAGTGTAATAGTACATTTGTCGGAGGGGGGAGGGGTATGTCACAGTATCTCACTAAGCAGGAATACCCCCGGTGTTGGCCCAGAAAGTTCCTTGGAATTTCCCGCCTTGTCTAGTAGTTCGGATGGCACGAAAACCAGAACACAAATCCTTGATAGTTGGATTTCGATGAAGTGTAGGCCGAAACGCCGCATGGTTTGGAATCCCCGGTTGTACGTGACAAGGAGTAGGGTCGCCTGTCCAACCTCGTGGCCAAATCTGCCTATTGTATGTCTTTCTTTAGGCCTTACGTTAATAATTAGACATTTATTAACATGACAAGACCATAATCCACTTTCGATACCATCGGATGGCTCCGATTTTAAGTAGATTCAGCCATTCAATGATTTAATTCAAAAATGGAGAATAACCAACACCGTGGTTATGCTAATAAACAATTAATGCACACATCTTGTCGAAACTACAAACATTGATAACTTCGCCCAGAATTAATCTGAATGACATTTTCAATATATTCATTTTGCATTATCTATCATAGCAAGAACGACCAGTTACATAGTGCATCTTTAAAATCATTTGGGTGACAACGTACTAAATTAATTACGCATCGCTTCGCGCTACATCATAACCACGCAGAGAAATTGTGTATTCGTGAGTGTTTTGTTTTAATGAAAGAAAAGTTTTCCCTTCGAGTCTCAATTGAACCAAATCGATCTGCAGAAGAAACAAAATATTAAAAACGGTCGGCATTTAAATTTTTTATTTTACTCGCTTAAGATCTTTTTGTCATGGCTGCAAGTAATTAAATGGGAGAAAAAAATATCGATTTTACATTGAAGAAAGCAGGTAACTGTATCTGTATGTACATGAATAGCGAAGAACGTGTTGACTTATGGGGAGAGATAATGAAACAATTACTTAAAAATAAATTATTCGGTCAAAAGAAACATCGACGATGGCTTGTTTTTGCCTGCTTAAATATTTGTTTAATTAATCAAAAAATCAAGATCGTGTTACACGACGTACATGTAACACCGTGTACGAAAGCAAGTACCTTGAGTTAACACTTCAAAATGGCTAATAGAAAATTTACAGACGAGGGTGTTTATTTTTACTCAGGAGAACAAAGGTATTCAGGTTACGTTATGTAATACATCAGCCGAATAACAAAGCGAGAGAGAGAGAGAGAAATGGGGTTTAACGTCCACTCGACACAAATTTGGTCATTTCGGGACTAACATATGGTTTAATTTTATTTCAATAATTCGCTTGCGCGTAGGGGTCTTTAGCAGTGGGAGGAAACCGGAGGACCCGGAGAAAACCCATGAGGTTGGACAGGCGACCCTACTCCTTGCCACGTACAACCGGGGATTCGAAACCACGCCAGTCGACTCAATGACAGACTGTATGATACAGCGCGCGCACGCTAACCATTCAGCCATCCAACCCCCGAATAACAAAGCATTTTGCTATTTGGGTTATATTGGAATTGTCCCAGATTGCTTCGCAGAGCATTGGATTTCCGTCTAGTATAGACAAAAGAAAGTAACAAAGACTGAATAAAATTCGTAACTCACTTAGTGGTTTGGAAAGCGTTCCACGGTTCCCCAATCTGCTCAATACTTTACATGGGGACGATTAGATATTAGATAGCATTCTCCAATGCTGAGTAAATGTCATAATGAACCCAAGTATCTGTCTCCGGCCCCGAGTTCACAAAACATTCTCAGACTTAAGTTAATCACTGTTTATGAGAAATATCTTTAATCCAGAAACACAAAGCTGTGCACATTGTTTCTTATTGATGTATTTGATACATTAAAAGAACAAAAGTTTTATAAGGAGCTTTATTTTAGTTAAAATCAGACAAACAATTTTGAGTAAATTCTTAACTTAAGTCTGAGAATGCTTTGTGAATTTGAGGCCTGATTGAATTGAGATCCCGAGCTCTGTTTCCGTGATGGTACCTTGTTCAATCAGCAACGTAATTTTACGTAAGGAGAAAGATGTAGATTACTTTGGGCATTTAGAGACTAGCTTATGTTTTTTTCAACAGTGACGTGTGCAATGCAAAGAAGGCGTTTTTGCCAGAACTGAAGCGCCCCGCCTACTCATCATTCCATTCCAATCGTCAAGGGTTCGTTTTGCGTGCACGGCTTTATGTACACCGTCGCTAGTCGTTTGTCACCGTTATTACGGTGATTAAAACTCTTAATGATGCACGTAACAGTTTGGGTTTTTTTTTCGGTCAGACCTTTCGAGATACTGAAATCGAGTATACTTAAAGCCGATGGTTGTCTTTGGCATTTTCGGGCAACATCTAAATTACCATGGCATCAACTAAATTACCCTGGCTTAATTCATGCTAAAATGTACTCAGATTGATTATTTAACATTAAGAAAAAGCACTCCTGGTTTGAATTTATTCTCATTAAAGAGAGGTCCATAAAAAAATTATTTTGGCCGGATCCTTTTAATTCATCATATCTTTGTAAATACTGAACTGAATGAACTGAACCATTTTTTCATTGGTACTACTTCTAAAGATTCAATTCTCACAATAGTACAGTTTGCAGGGAGTTCAAATATTGTAGTTTGTAACGAATTCAAAATCCCTCACAGTGACTTTATTCGTCAAATAAAAAAACGAAAGTAGAATATTTTATTGGATTTATAAATAACGTCTTTTATCCGATATGGAATTTGTATTATATTCAGTTCTTACAATATCGCAGTTTGCAAGGTATTCAATTTTCACAATTTATAATTTATAATTCACTCAAATGACGTCCGGTAGCTTTATTCATACAAAGAAATAAATTGAAAGTAGAATATCTGAGTGAATTTTGAAATGACGTCTTTTATCTCAATTGTATTTGTTGTGTATATATATTCATTTTGCACAGCAGTTTGCAAGGGATATCTGATTGAATTTTTAAATAACGTCTTTTATCGCCATTGCATTTGTGGTCTATTATATTATATAATGATAGTCGTGCCTCATTTCTACTTTATCAAGAGAAAAAAAACATTAAATGTACATACATAGTGCTCGTTTAACATGCAAACGTCATTTTATCAAATTTGATTTCTAATTTGATAGTGTTATGTAAACAGGACGAGACATGGCCGGATAGAGGGTTTTTTTTCATTTGTACGTGATGTTCTCTCAAAATTAGATTTCATTCGGAGAGCGTTCATCCATGTTGACAGAAATCAAGGAAAATGAAATCCAATAATTGCTTCAATAAAAAAAAAATAACTAATTTTATGACAAACGTCAGATTTCAAATGATTGGATTTGGACTCGAGATTGTCATTTTGAGATGTAGCTGTTCGTTCGTGCAGCTGACTTCTGTCGTTAGCGACCCCTGACAAACCTTATAACATACTCTTAACAATGTCACATTCGATTGAACTTGTAATCCGTTCACTCAATTGACCGATTGCTCCCCTCACCTAAAAAACAAATCAACAACCGGAATCAGAATATGTTGGGGAATTTACAAACGTGTAACGTGTACTTAAAGGGGGATGAGGAAAGTTCCGAATTTGTTTTGAAATTGGATCCGCGGTAGCTCAGTCAGCAAAATCTCGGCACGGCCTGTTAGAAGGGGCTGGGACACTGTTCCAGGGGGCCGGGGTCTAGAATGGCCCGGTGGTATGCCGAGTAATATTTTTCAAAAATATTGGTATAAATTAATAAAAAAAAAAAATACACGGCTACTTCATCGTAAAGTAGAAGGAAATCGGCGACTTTTCTGAAGGTGGGTACCTAGGGGCGTGGGTAGGATTAGAATCGGATTTTGAAATTTACAAAAAAAAATAAATGACGCTTTAAACATTCTGAGATCGATGTTTTCCTGTTTAATTCCACAAACACTGTACACTCTTAACAAGATCAGTCATTTTGACCTTTCAAATGCCATATTGAAGATTGTTCTATCAAAAACCGTACCCCGTGGAATAAGGTGTCATGAACAAACAGTACTTCAATTATACGTCCTTATGGGTAATTCAATCTTTTTATGAAATGGCTATGGGGTTATTCAATCCAATTTTTCAATACAAAAGCACGAACTCTTATCATTAAACGCTGAAAGAAATTGTATTTTATTGGTTAAATTCGTTATGGTTGGAGATCATTGAACGTCTTCGTTTCGATATGGTGGCAATTTATGGTCATCTATTCAATGGTTTATGTAGTAGTCCGCTTCAAACTATACCAAAAAAGCAGTCAACGAAGGATTCAAATTTTATCACCTCTATAATAAAAGCAATACTGAAAATCTGATAAGTGTTTTGTTTGTAATCCGGGTGTGAGATGTGTGACTTCGCACGTTTTTAAATCACTGTTTTCACTTACATTTCCTTTTTAGATACAAAAATGACTTCTAAATGTGATAAACATTCAAGTTAAAAAGGACATTAACCCCGTATTCAAAATATTGAAATAGAAACAGATAATAGAGATTTATAGAGTAGATGTCCAACATTAAAGTTTTCCTGGTGTAATCTGGCAATAGGACAACAGTGTAGTAAGGAGATGAAATAAATGATCATAGATCAATTATGTAATCTGGCAATAAACCTAACCTTTCATTAGAATTTATATCAATCTTGGCCCTGATCTAAGAAGGCATATATTCAGACTGGCTGTAATTGATACGACAGCGGTTATTACCGGGATATTTATACAGTACGTCACTGGTCCCTATTTAACCCTTAATAAAATTTTGTTTATTTTTATCTTTCCAGAAAATGGTTCGATCCTGGTTTTCTTTGGCATTATATTGCGTTCTGGTTGTCATAGTGACGTCAAGCAGACCACAACGACTAGCTGACTGGATAAAATCAACACTTCCGGTTGTGGAAGATGCAAGTTATTTGGAGGCTAAAAACGAACTCGCTAGCGACATTTTACGAGAAGTTCTCGCTGAGAAAAACTTCGACGAGAACGAAATTGACGATTTGATTGGATTATTTAGACAGAAATTAGAAGGATCACCCCGATTACAAAAGAAATCAGGGTGGAAATACCCCAACATTCCAATTCAGACCCGATTTGCCGCCTTTGGCCAGAAATTAGTTCCAAGTAGAATGATGGGAGGTGGTGATCACGGCCCTACCATTCTTAGATATGGACGAAGTCTGAAGCACTGAAATGTTTAAATGTGATCATGTGACCAATCCCCATTATTAATAGACATTATCAACGCTATCTGTATTTGTTACTAGTTAATCCTATTTATTATTTATGTTTTAAGAACAATTAAATATATGAATATTGAGAACAATACCTCCCCCCGAACTAATGAAATCAAATGCATTAAGTGTTCTAATACTATTATACGTTGAATTTTTGTTTTGATATTAAAGGAGTGATAAATTGCACATAATGGTTGTGAAGAAGCAATTTTCTGTTGGAAGGGGAAGGGAGAGACATTTTTTTGTTTGTTTTCTTGAAGAACTAATCGAACTGTAAATGAAACATACGATGTATAAGTAAATACACGTTGCCCTTAACAACCTAAATAGCTGTTTGCGCAATCCCAATAAACACAATGTATTGCTTCATAAGGATCAAGTCTTCTCGTATAAAAAGGCAATAAATTTTTAAATAATAGTTTTGTTTTTTTTTATTTTTGGACCACCACCCGTTGACGCTGTTCGAAAAGGGTGTTGTGGTTTCGATACCGGTGTTGGCCGAGAAAGTTCATCGGATTTTCCGGGGTGGTTTCCCCTTGTCAGTGGTGCCTGACAAGGACAGCTGTCTAGTTAGGATGTGTCGACAAACCCGCGTACGCATTGGTGTGCACGTAAAAGATCCATTAGTAGTTTGAATTCGATATAAGAGTAGGCCATAGTGGCGCTGTCCGCGTTAACCCCCCCCCCCCTCCCACCACACACACACACACACATTTTCCCGGTTAGTGTAAAAGGCTGTGTTGGCCGAGAAAGTTCCTTTGGATTGGCCAGAGTAGTTTTCAATTGTCATTCGATTCTGGCAAAGTACGTCTAGTCGTTCCGGCGGGACGGAACACCCGTGTATTCGTTAGCGTGCACGTAAAAGAACCTATGACCGACTTCGTTATCCCGGTTGGTGAAGAAACCACCGTTCTATTCATTCATTTACATTAAAGGAGGCAAGTCTTTAACTCAATATCATCCACAGTCTTCGACATTGAAAACACAAATTATTGGTCAATTTAAATTAACATTGATGTTGCGATTTTACCAGGAAAAGGTGGGCTTTTGATATCCAATATTAAGGTAAAATAAACATTTTACCATTGGTACACGAATCGTGTACCAGAATGCGTTTCAGTGAGATTTGTAACAAGGGACACGACGAACGAGGCCAGACATATTCAACAAGTCATGTCAAAGGGTAGTTCTAAATAATAAGGCCAGCTCAATTTTTGGTCATAGGTCAGGAGATGTAAATAGAGCTAGCGCTAATCCCAACCCTAACCCTGGACTCAATCCTTATCCTAAACCTAACCAATAATGTCGCCAACAATCACTTGCCCTAACCTTATTTACATCTCAGCGACCTTGACAAAAATTGAGCTGGCCTTAACAAATAGATTTAGCCCATGTCAAACGGTGACGTCATATCCTTATCTGGAGAGCGTGCGCAATAAATACTGCTTGAAATAACCAGACGCTAGAGATTCCATTCGATCGTGGCTTCTGGCGTATTTTGTTGAACATAACTGATTTGAAATAAGAGTAAAAATGGAAACCATTGAATGTAAATCAGTTTCATATTCCATTATTATATGCGTTGCGACCAATTTGTGTCAATTTCTAGGTCCCAAATATTAGCGATTTAATAGTCCCTTTCACGTTAACAGTCTACTAATACTTGATTATTTTAAAGTTAAAATTGTAATTTTTATCAAATTTCGAACAGCGCAAAAATAAAAAATAAATTCTTAACCAATATTGTGTTAAACGTTAATGATATTAACACGTCCACAGCAATATTGACTTCTTCAGACATTCGATCAATGAATGACCTACCAATTAGGTATTATAATAAGATCAGTTGTGTAAAAATAGTAATTTTTAAAGAAGTTACGGCTTGTTAAAATTCCATATCATTGCGTAATCGCCATCTCTATAATACAAAATACGGTTGCGACTTTATGCTCGTTTATCAATAAAACATGCACACCAAACCTACATCACCACACAATGATGAAACAGTTGTTAAAATTTTAAATGACTTAAATATAATGATACTGTTAATGGACATTAAACGAAATTGGGTTTAACGTCTACTGCTCTGCTTCGACTGGGCTAACGGAGATGGGCATATGCCATGCAGCGTGCTATGGGGGCATTTTGCTACGGCCTACTCTTCCCATTCGAATGACTGTACGTTGTCCCTTGGCAACAACCTGTTTTGCACCACTAACACAGAAATCCATCTACTTCATACTTCAAGAATAAATCTCTGTCCTGAATGGCGGCCATTAGTATATTGTTTTGTAATGCGGTTCTACTCCGTTTCACATCTGGCATACACACAAAGACTAATTAAACCTTTTCAATTCCATTAAATGGAAGCGGAATAAATATTTCTCAAAATTATCGAAGTATATTTAGTGTTTCTGTATTAATTAGGGAAGCTAAAAGTAATTTTAAAAACAAATTAGAACAACAAATAAATAATAACAAATTGCCTTTAATTAAAATAAATGGTGGAAAATAGCTAAATCTATAACAAATTTTGAAAATGAAAAGATAGCCACCTCCCCATTAATATTTGAAAAACGCGTTTACACACACCCACTTGATAAGAGAAAGAGATGGGGTTTAACGTCCACTCGACACAAACTATGTCATTTCGGGACTAACATATGGTTTAATTTTATTTACACAATTCGCTTGCGCGTAGGGGTCTTTAGCAGTGGGAGGAAACCGGAGGACCCGGAGAAAACCCACGAAGTTGGACAGGCGACCCTACTCCTTGCCACGTACAACCGGGGATTCGAAACCACGCCAGTCGACTCAGTGACAGACTGTATGATACAGCGCGCGCACGCTAACCATTCAGCCATCCACCTCCCCCCCCCCCACCCCCAACTTGATAAGGGGACTATCCTCAACTCCTATTTTGTCTCGATTACGAAATTAAATGGTGTACCTGACCTCCCAAATTTTGCTTCTCGTAGTAACAACGAATTGCATCAATTTATTGTAAGTCAACAAGAAGAAAGAGACCTGGGCCCTTATTCACGAAAACTTAAACTAAGTTACAACCGAAATTTTACGAAATACTGCAACTTCATTGGATATATGCAAATTGATTTTACTGTTCAGCCAATCGAATTGCAGTATTTCTTAAAATTTCGATTGTATCTTAGTAGTTTAAGTTTTCGTGAATAAGGGCCCAGCTACTAATTCTTAACTGTTCAAAACCTTCTGGTCCCGATAACATTAGTCCAGCTGTGCTGAAAAAGTTAACTTGTCAATGACAAGACCTCTCACTAAACTTTTTAATCTTTCATTAAATTAAAAAGAATACACGGCTACTTGATCGTAAAGTAGAAGGAAATCGGCGACTTTTCTGAAGGTGGGTACCTAGTGGCGGGGGTAGGATTAGAATCGGATTTTGAAATTTACAAAAAAAAATGACGCTTTAAACATTCTGAGATCGATGTTTCCCTGTTTAATTCCACAAACACTGTACACTCTTAACAAGATAAGTCATTTTGACCTTTCAAATGCCATATTGAAGATTGTTCTATCAAAAACCGTACCCCGTGGAATAAGGTATCATGAACAAACAGTACTTCAATTAAACGTCCTTATGGGTAATTCAATCTTTTTATGAAATGGCTATGGGGTTATTCAATCCAATTTTTCAATACAAAAGCACGAACTCTTATCATTAAACGCCGAAAGAAATTGTATTTTATTGGTTAAATTCGTTATGGTTGGAGATCATTGAACGTCTTCTTTTCGATATGGTGGCGATTTATGGTCATCTATTCAATGGTTTATGTAGTAGTCCGCTTCAAACTATACCAAAAAAGCAGGCAACGAAGGATTCAAATTTTATCACCTCTATAATAAAAGCAATACTGAAAATCTGATAAGTGTTTTGTTTGTAATCCGGGTGTGAGATGTGTGACTTCGCACGTTTTTAAATCACTGTTTTCACTTACATTTCCTTTTTAAATACAAAAATGACTACTAAATGTGATAAACATTCAAGTTAAAAGGGACATTAACCACGTATTCAAAATATTGAAATAGAAACAGATAATAGAGATTTATAGAGTAGATGTCCAACATTAAAGTTTTCCTGGTGTAATCTGGCAATAGGACAACAGAGGAGTAAGGAGATGAAATAAATGACCATAGATCAATTATGTAATCTGGCAATAAACCTAACCTTTCATTAGAATTTATATCAATCTTCGCCCTGATCTAAGAAGGCATATATTCAGACTGGCTGTAATTGTTACGACAGCGGTTATTACCGGGATATTTATACAGTACGTCACTGGTTCTTATTTAACCCTTAATAAAATTTTGTTTATTTTTATCTTTCCAGAAAATGGTTCGATCCTGGTTTTCTTTGGCATTATATTGCGTTCTGGTTGTCATAGTGACGTCAAGCAGACCACAACGACTAGCTGACTGGATAAAATCAACACTTCCGGTTGTGGAAGATGCAAGCTATTTGGAGGCTAAAAACGAACTTGCTAGCGACATTTTACGAGAAGTTCTCGCTGAGAGAAACTTCGACAAGAACGAAATTGACGATTTGATTGGATTATTTAGACACAAATTAGAAGGATCACCCCGATTACAAAAGAAATCCGGGTGGAAATACCCCAACATTCCAATTCAGACCCGATTTGCCGCCTTTGGCCAGAAATTAGTTCCCAGTAGAATGATGGGAGGTGGTGATCACGGTCCTACCATTCTTAGATATGGACGAAGTCTGAAGCACTGAAATGTTTAAATGTGATCATGTGACCAATCCCCATTATTAATGGACATTATCAACGCTATCTGTATTTGTTACTAGTTAATCCTATTTATTATTTATGTTTTAAGAACAATTAAATATATGAACATTGAGAACAATACCTCCCCCCGAACTAATGAAATCAAATGCATTAAGTGTTCTAATACTATTATACGTTGAATTTTTGTTTTGATATTAAAACAGTGATAAATTGCACATAATGGTTGTGAAGAAGCAATATTTCTGTTGGAAGAGGAAGGGAGAGACATTTTTGCTTTGTTTTCTTGAAGAACTAATCGAACTGTAAATGAAACATACGATGCATAAGTAAATACACGTTGCACTTAACAACCTAAATAGCTGTTTGCGCAATCCCAATAAACACAATGTATTGCTTCATAATGATCAAGTCTTCTCGTATAAAAAGGCAATAAATTTTTAAATAATAGTTTGGTTTTTTTTATTGTTGGACTGCCACCCGTTGACGCTGTTCGAAAAGGGTGTTGTGGGTTCGATACCGGTGTTGGCCGAGAAAGTTCATCGGATTTTCCGGGGTGGTTTCCCCTTGTCAGTGGTGCAGGACGAAGGGCCTGACAAGGACAGCTGTCTAGTTAGGATGTGTCGACAAACCC